AGTACATCCTGTCTATACATATATAGATAGGATGACATTGGATCTTAGATTAAATTAGATTAGGTTGCTTGGGTGAAGTTAAATGAGTATATACATTAGGTTGTATAAAGATTATACATAAGTATAGGTATGTAGCAGCTTACAAGGCTTTTAGGTTAAGTTAGATATAGTTTGGATTAGATTATATAAGATATAGATGCAGAGATACACAGATATCTGTATACATCCTGTGTACATATATATATATATAATATACATATATATATATATATATATATATATTGTAGATATCTAGAAAGGATCGCAGGCACTGTATAGAAACCCCCGACGGCTGGAATGCCTTCGTGTGCGGTAATTTGTGTCACTTCATTACAGGAACAAAATGTTGAGCATAGGTGCACTTTGGCATGTCCGGGCGGGCGATAGGGGGCACAGCTCAAAAGCTGGCGCTTTCTTATTGGATAGGAATACTTTGATAAGATGTTGGGTTTCTGGATAGATATATAGGTGGGGAGCCTGCCAGCATGCTCTGTCTCTGACATGATTATACAGTGTCTGAGAGAACACTGTACTGTCAGGGGCACGGCAAGATCGCCCACGAGGAGGCTCGGGCCCAATTCTTCAGCAAGCCCGTCCCAACAAATAAAAGTGATTGTGCAGCAGGACGACCAGGATGGATGGAGCCAGGCCGGCATTTCTTCTTGGCTTGGAAGCATGCAGGGTTCTGTGTGCCACGGTAGGACGGAAAGTGGAAAGGAAGCGGAAGCTCCAGTGCAGCAGGTGCACCGAAACCGATTCATTGTGAAACCCCTGCCCTTGCAAGCCTTCTTTGTTCATTTGGACAGGATGGAAGAAGCCCGCGCCGACCAAGGGCAGAGGCAGGTGTTTGGGGAGTCGAGGTCAGCCGGCTTTTATATTCTGCCGACAACAGGCAGCTTCGAGCGGCCTTCCTCGAAGGGCGGCCACTACGTGATGGCCCACTACGTCGACGAAAGCGGGAAGGCCGGAAGCATTGCCACTGCAGTGGGCCGCATCGTTCGTTCCAGCCTGGCAGGCTTGCCCTCCAGGGGCAGGTCGGACCCGTGGCCGGACCCGTGGAGGAGCTGCCATCCGCTTGATCGAGGCGAAGCAGCAGGCCAAGGACAGCACCCAGCACTTGGAGGACACCCTTCTATAATCCCAACAAAGCATCGCCAACAACCCACCCCCCACAAAACAAAGCATTTTGCCAGGACCTGCGAACCTCGGTCTCGACGATGCACCTCATGGCGAAAAGCATGGAGAGGTTGCAGAAGGAGTGCCGCCGTAGAGCACCATTGTTGTTTCTGGGTATTCCTCTGACAAGCCTGCTTCAGGACAGCCAGGGGTGAAAGCCCGGACGGTTCCGTCCTTGGCTGTGCCCGTGGGTTCGGTGCGGTTTTCCTGTCTGGCGGTCCCAGGTGCTGGGAAAGCATCGGCTGTGGTGGCTGTGCACAGAGGCTTCTGCCTTGGCTGACGAGTGTGGTGCAGTTGCAGTGGTTGTGTTGGTTGCTGGCCGTGGTTATCCTGACTCGATGCAGGCGCCGCCGCAGCTTCCCGGAGCTCTGAAATTGGAGCAACAGGTCCAATGGCATCCCTTCGGGTAGTTGGCCAGGTTTATGCATGGATAAACCTTCGGAGCTAAAAAGTTGCTAAGGTTTATCCATAAATAAATTTTGGGGGCTTTAAGGCCTTACTTCTATACCAGAAATATTCGCGGATAAACTTTTCTAGCTTCGAGGCTGCCGGGGTTTATTCATGCATAAACCTGGTGGTTTCTGCCACGTAGCTTGGCTGCTCTGCATTGATGCAACATAACACACAGGCCTTGTGATCTAGCTTCTGCTGAAGACACTTGTGTTGCTGCAGCCGGAATGCATAGACGTGTCCGACCTCCCAACTGCAGGGGCCAGGCTATCGTGCTAGGGTAACACACGAAGCTGTTAGGCACCTTCTGGGCTGCTGCATATACAGTCATACACATAGCCGTGCCCGGCCTCTGCAACTTGTTGTTTTCTGCAGCTGATGCTGCTGCCGACCAACCACACAAGTGATCGGGCGCCCTGGGCACGAAAACAAGTCCTGTGCGGATAGACTTCCGGTGCAGTGTGTCGGTGTGTGTGTGTGTGTGTGTGTGTGTGTGTGTCTGTTTGTCTCTCTGTCTCTGTAGTCTGTCAGCAGAATATACTATTATATATTATACTACATGACAATGCTATACTCCCATGTATAGTATAGTATACAGAATATATTCTACATTGTATACTATAATGCACTATACTGTATATACTACTATACCACGATAATATATGTTACTATATAATGTATTACGATCCTGGTATATTATCTATTCTTTTATATTACATACATCAACAACAGCGACAACAGCAACAACAGGACCACCGCGACAACCACCAGGCACCAACAACAAGAAAGCACCACAGCCACAGCAACAACAGCAGTCAGAACAACCACGGAAGCAATAACAAAACCGTGTGTTTCAGCCTCCCACGTGCACTGGCTCTGCACATGTGCTTCTGCCTGCTGGCGAGCTGACAGCCCTGCCTGCGACTTTGGAGGCTCCAGTGCAAGGATGACGAAAGCCCACAACAAAATAGGTAGAACATCCGAGAGCTTTGGCTCTGCTGCACGGAAATCAGTCTGTGGATGCCAGATAGTTACGATATGGTCTTCGCCACTAGCTGGTTGCGAAAACTGCAGACCGAGAATCTGCAGACGTGGAGCCTGGAAACCGAAGATCGGGAACGTGTGCTGGAGTGGCTCGTGCTAGGCATTGTTGGAAGCACCATCTACAAAGACGAAGGTGTCTGGATGTCCATCATGGCCGTGGACTCGTGCCACGATGCTGTGCTGGTCCGTGACCACGAGAGCTCCTGTTACATAGCAGTGCAGCTCCAGAGACTTTTTGCTGGTTCACTAGGAACAATGGATTGACTTGTGCTGCGATTCAAAGAAAGCCGTCTGTGCATCATGGCATTTCATGAGTGATTTCTGCTGTGCACTGTAGACTGTCATGCATGAATAGGTCGCAGCAAGCAGGGTAAGCTTTTCAGTTGTGTCTCGCTTGCAGGGCATTTTGCTCGCAAGCAGAGCATACAACTTCGAAGCCGCACCTTTTATCGTAATCATGGCCGTGGTCGCTCGTCCGAACGTACAACAACTGGAAGCGGCATGGAGCGAGCCCAATCAGCTTGTGCCGGGGAACGAGAAGTTCGAGCCTTTGGGATTCTTGAAATGCTATCGTGTACATGTAGGACACGATTATTTTCCGCATCAGGGATATGCTTGTTACTTGTCGAGGGAGCTGGGCCAGGGAGCTCGCCTTTGGCGATGCGAGCGAGGTGGTCTCCTCAAGTGCAGGGTCACTCGGCCAGCTGAGGTCCGGGCCGTGGCAGTGTCCTTGACCGGCCGGCTGAGGTTTGGGTTTCTGGTTGTCCAGGCCCGGATGCTCTCCGGAGCACAAGTCTGGTCCGGCACGTACCCGGCCGAGCAAGACGTGAAAGTGTCGGCTGTGAGCACCGCCATCCGGCACAGCATGCTGGTGGCTGGTCGCATCCAGTCGACACACGTGTTGAAGGTCATGGGCCACAAGCTCCTTGTCCACGGCCGCAAGATTTGGAGCTGCAGCTGGTCCAAGACCATGGCAGCCAAGAAGCTGCCCAAGAAACGGCTTTTTCGAAAGACGGATCCGAGGTTTCTCCGTCTGGCCCAGTCCGTGCCACTGTTTTGATTTTTGATTCAGGAGAGGAAAGATCGAGTGCTCAGTGTGCAGGCTGTGTCACTATATACATGTATGCATGGTTGTCGTGCAAGAAATGCATGCCGGAATCGTGAGTTGTTCGCAGGCAGGGCTTTCATAGCTCGCCACAGCAGGACGACTTTTGAGGGATTCCGGCTTTCCTCTCGCCATGGCAGCCGCCTTCTTGAACCAGCTCCATGACATGCTCCACAAGCAGAAGCCGATCATGGGCGATCACTTCGACGGCATGCTTGCTGCACAGAAAGACTGTGCCGTGCGAGCCATCTCGCAACACAAAGTGACCATGCAAGAGGCAGCTGAGCTGTGCAGCTTGATCCAGCAAGGGCCCTGGAACGAGAGCCAAAAAAAGGAGCTTGGAAAAGCAGTCTCCAACTCCGTCTCGTCGGGGATGATGGCTGCTGGCAAGAAGAAGAAGGGCAACCAGGCCCAGGAAGTCGACAACTTCTTCTGCTTTTTGTCAGCTGAAGACAAGCAAGTCCTGGCCGAGGCCAGTGCTGGAGTGCACTCAAGGTGCAATCACATCGCCGAGATCATGGAGAAGATGGGCCTGTGTTGGCCATCGGAGAAGGCGACAGGTCATATCGTCTCAACGATGGCAACACTGCAGTCAGCTGGCCTTGAGTCTCCTGATGATTTTCACGGGGCTGTGAAGAAGCTGAAAACCATCATCAAAAGCAGGCTGAAAAGAACAAGGATGCCAAGGACAACGAATTTGTGGCCGTGTACAAGGAGCCAGCCTTGTTGCCCGAGATCTACCGCAGTCACTTTGAAAAGGCTGAAGCAGGCGAGCTCCCTGCTTCGAGCCTTGTTGCCCATGGTCCTCTGCGAGGCAGTCACAAGTCCCTCAGCAGCAGCAGCAACATCGTTGGCAACAACATGATGAATCACAGCCTGATGAAGAAGATGATGGCCGACGGCAACGGCAAGAACATGATGGGACTGATGAGCTGCATGTCGACATGCATGCAGCAGTTTCAGCAGCAGTCCAACAGCTCGCAACTGCCGGGCTTCAAGTTGTTGGGAAAAGCCGGCGGCAACGAAGCCAGTCCAAATCGGGCTACAAGCATGATGGCGACGACGAGCCCACCGCACGACTCACGACTCTCCAGAGTCCAGCCATCGTGTTTCAAGCCCGGTGCAGCCTCATCATCAGCAGCTTGCTGTGCCCGCCAGCCCGGTGCAGCCTCATCAGCAGCAGCTTGCTGTGGCCGCAAGCCTGGTGCAGCCTCACGATCAGCAGCTTGCTGTGCCCATGGCTGGGCAGGAGCCTGTGGGTCCGGCCGAGCAGGCTCGTCAGATGCTTGCTGCATGGAATGCAAACAAAGCGGCAGCAGAGGGAGATGAGGAAGATGAGGAGACTGAGAAGCCCCGGAAAAAGCCTGCCGCAAAGCTCCAGCAGACGAAGAGTGTGCAGCCGAAGAAGAAGCCGGCAGCGAAGACGAAGTCGCAGTCCCAGCCCAAGCTGAGCATCAAGATTCCGAGCATGAGCAAGAGGTTGAAATTGCGACCGAACGGCTGCAGCAAATGCCGCAGCCGACCGGGCTGTTGTCCGTCGTGCTTCAAGAAGTGATTTTTGTTGGCATGCAGACATGACATGTGTCTCTGTATGCGAAGTGAACAGTATAAATCTGTAGATGTATATACAATCTAGATAGGAACGTGTATGCATGTCTATATGCCTTTCTTGCAGACTGTACAGGTGACTTCTGCAGTGATGGCCGTATACACAGACGGCAATGGCCGCGCACGTATACGGCAAGAAATCACGGGTCTATATATGTTTATCTGTGGTGCCATGGTGCACCGTTGTTCCATTCACCCGGGGTTTCAGTGCCATCAGCCTCAACGAACTTTGTGCACGGACAGAACAGCCTCTATGCCGTGTGCACGGAGGCTTGCATGGCAATCTCGTATTATATGCAGCGACTTAGGATTCGACTGAGCCGCAAAATGTGTGGTTTGCCCGCACATGCACATGTGTGCACGAGCGATGTGGATGATAGCTTCGACAGCTTGCATGATGCCCAGATCGAGGATCATGTCCATGTGTTGCAGAGTGTATTTTAGGGTTGAGGGTTGAGGGTTTAGGGTTTAAGGGTTTAGGGTTTTATAAAGTTCGTGTTTGTATGTACTTTATACACTGTACCAAAGTATATATATAATATATGTATATACATATGGCATGTTATGACAGTGTATGGGTTTCGTGTATACACATATATATATATATATATATGTGTGTACATGTATATGCATATGTACATATATATACACACATATATGCAAGCACACTGCAATGGGGTTTATCCAGAACATGCACATATCAGAGAGTCCTGAAACAACTTTGGTCGCTTTTGCAGGGCTGTGTAAAGCTCGCAAGCAGACCACATGGCTTCCCAATCGTCGGGATCCAATTCGGCCAACCCGTTGTCGCAATTGGGAAGGAAAGTTTTCACCACCCAAAGAGCCCTCGCTCAGATCCTGAAGGAGATTCGTGAGCTGGATGAGCTACCTGCAGCTACAGGCCGGAGCTCGGTGAAAAGAGCTCGTGAAGAACTGCTGCATGATTATGCTACCCCTTATGGGCCCATCTACATCGAGCCCACACTTCAGAAGGAAGACGGCACCGATGTTACAATTCCGATTTTGAGTCCAGCTGCAATGCTGGCTTGGGCATGCGAGCACTGTGCTGCCTTCGGCCAGCTCTTGCAGAAGCAAATGGCACTGAAGCCGCCGACCTACGAGAAGCCTTGGACTCTGATTTGGTATTCGGACGAAATCGCACCGGGCAATCAACTGAAGCACGTGAACCGTCGCAAGGCCCAGGTCATCTATTGGTCCCTGCAAGAACTGGGAGCCCATGCGATGTCCTGCGAGTCGTGCTGGTTTACCTTGACGGCGGTTCGCAGCACCGTGGTCGCAGACATGGGGGGGATGGCGGTTTTGTTCCGCCAGCTGGCCAGGTTTTTTTTCGAGACCCCCGATTGGCGGCAGGGGCTTCTGGTCAACTGCCCCATCGGCTCTCCCCCTCTGTTTGCCGATCTTGGCATACTAAACTCCGACGAAGCTGCTATAAAGCAAACCCTCTGCAACAAGGGTGCTTCTGGACTCGTGTTCTGCGTCCACTGCCAGAATGCAGTCGACCACAAGTCGCACGTTGCTGCCAGCAGTCGGGGCACACAAGTATCCAGCCTGGAGACCGACATTTCCAGATTTCGTCGCCAGACGAAGGAGTCCATCAAAGCCTATATGGACTACCTCGCCGAGCAGAAGCCCTTGCAGACCAAGACAAAGTTCGAAAAGCTGCAGACTGCCCTGGGTTTTAACTTTAAACCAATGGGCTTACTGGCCCATGCAGCCTATGGCCCCAAGCTGATAGACTGCATTATGTTCGACTGGACGCACGTCTACCTGGTCTCAGGGCTGTTCAATGTGCTGACAGGGCTTTTCCTTGGAGACCTCCATCACAATGGCTGGAAGCACAACGACATTGAGCGGTTCGCAAGGACTTTCACATGGCCTGCACGTCTGCGAGGTGCTGCCCCGAAGGATGTGTTGCAAAAGAGAGGATCCTACAGTGATGCTCTCAAGTGCAGCGCATCGGAGGCTCTGAACTTCCTGCAGGTGCTGCGAACCTATCTTGTGCTCTGGGTGCTGCCGCAATGCAACGAGGACATGAGAAACTCATGCGAGGTTTGGTTGGCGATGTGCAAGGTCCTCAAAAGATCGCCATACGAGATCCTTTCCCTGCAGTCCAACTGCAAGTCTTGGTGAAAGGCCATCTGGACCTCGCTAAGACCCGCTACGGTGAGGACTCCTTTTGGGTACCCAAGTGCCATTTGGCACTCCACTTGCCCCTTCAGTTGGCCAAACACTCAGGTCTGATGAGCTGCTTTGTGCACGAAAGAAAGCACAAAATCATCAAGAAAATCACAAACCAAGTACTCGACACAAGTCGGGCTTTTGAGAAGAGCATACTCGATGATGTGCTACATGGGCATTTGCAGCAGCTCGCCGATCCGGCTTTTCTCCCAGGAGATGCTTGCATGCATTATGCATTCATTTCTTCTATATACCACTATAGATGTTGTTATAAAAAGGTTCACAACATTTTCTTTCCAGTTTCGTCGTATGCAGTTTAGGAAGGGGTGCACTTGGTTCAGCCTGTGCGACCAGCCCCTGCCAAGCTCCAAGCCGAGCTCCGGCGATGCATGAACATCCAGGGCGAGATCATGACAGCAAACCAGGCTGTGCATGCAGGGAACTTCACAGTTTCGGCAAAAGACCTCGCGGCTTTGCATCTGGATGGTGAAAGGCTTGTCGGCAGGGTGGGCTACCACGTCCAAGCAGATGGGACATGCTGGTCACATGTCACTCTTTGGAACCACGTGCATGGAGCCATGTTCACCCTGTCGGACGATGTGGCCCTTGTAGAAACCAAGCATATCCATGCCACTTGTGCCTTCAGTGTGCAAGGCGACAGTGCTGTCGTGGTGCTGCCATGAGAAACAAAGACCTGCCTGCGAGCTTGCAGCCCTGCAATCAATGGCGGTCTTCGTGTAAATATCTGTATAACACGTTCCCTTTTGGGAGGCAAACGGTTGGAAATTGCATGTTCAAAAATCACAAATCCATCAGCTCTGAAACCACTTAGTTTACTTAGCAGACTTATCTAAGTATGACTTAGCTGCAACGATAAGTTGACTTAGCTATCTATGCTAAATGGAGTTATGCTAAGTGGGATAAGTCAGTTATTAAGTCGACCAACCGAATACTAAGCATGATAACTTTTTACTAAGCCCAGCGGGCCTTTAAGTAGCTTTAGCTAACTGGCTTCACACAGTAGCACGGACAACACGAACTTCTCTCTTTTTAGCGTTGTGGCGAAGTCCCGCGTTAGCCCGGAGAAGAACTCTAGTCCCACGTTAGCCCGGAGAAGAACTCTAGTGTTCGGCTAGCTAATCTCCAGGGTGGGTTGGGTGGGCACTCGAAAATTGCCCCCCAGTAGCTGGGGGCCTTTCAGCACAATGGCCACGGAGTAGCTCATCATCCACCGGCCATGTGCAGTCACTCTAGCAAACAGATTGGCTTCGTTCTGTTAAGCTTCAGAGGAAAACCCCTTCGACGTTTTCTAGCGAAACACCTTCGATGTTTCACACAAGGATACTAGCGCTAGCATACACGGTCGTACCTCGTCCCTCGGCACGAGTGCGTACACTAGCTCACTAGCTAGCGTATCCTCCCGCCACCTCCCTCAACACCTCCGGGGAGGAAATAATACAGTTCCTGTAGCAGTGTTTCGTACCCATACAGAGTTTAGTGTGCAGTCGCATTGGCATATCCCAGGCACCATATAGCAGCTGCTGGGCTCGACCAGCCGCTGACTGATGGGCTACCCCATGCAGGCAGAGGACCAACAGTTGCACTGAAGTATTGGCGCTATGCACACTGTCATGTAGAGTTACTTTCACTCAGCACAGCTTCAGCTTTCAACGGGTTGCAGGCCGATTCTTTCGTGGCCCACGAGGTCTGTAGTTAGGATTGCGGCACTTCTTGCATCCCAAGCGGCCGTAGCGGCAAGTGGGGCACCCCAACCTTCTGGGGTTCTCCTCCTCGGGTTCCTCCTCGCCGTCAGCGGGAGGCTTCTTCTGCTTGCCGTTCTTCGCGGCCTTCTTCGGAGCTGCACTGGCACCGCTTCCACCAGCACCGTCAGCAGCCTGCTTGCCTTTGGCTTTGCGAGTATTCTTCGACTCATTCTTGGCCTTCTTGGGTTTCTTGGGTTCCACAGGCTCGGGATCGGAAGCCACAGCTTTCATAGCATTCTTAGCTCTCGCTTTGCTCTTCGGCTTGCCTTTGGCCAGGGACTCCTGCTTTTTGGTTCGAAGCTGCTTCTGCTTCAAGGGGTCCGCCATCGGCGCATCCAGAGCCTCCCGGTCCTCCTGCCAGAGCACACATTATCAATCATCGCTGTAGTACGACAAAACCGGAGATTGCCTAATGAACTTACAGAAACAAAGCTCCGAAACAAAGCTCCTGTGGCAACTTGTTGCCTCCTCTGATCTTCGCGGGGATGTCCTGGCTCGGCTCGAGGCACTCGGCGGAGTCTCCACATCACGAATGTCCAGAGGCTGGGTCTCGTCCTGCACGAGTTCCAACTCTAGCCACATGTACTGTATGTAGTCTAAGAAGAATAACCAAAGT